CGGGATGCCACTCGTCACCAATCTCCATCTGGAAATTGAGCCGTTGACCACTACCCTCTGGATGCGATCATCTAACCAATTCCTCACCCAAATTATAATCTTGACTATTGTTGAAATGCTTTTTCATGCATGCTGAAATTAAGTTCATTGAGCTTAGTTTGAGTTTACAACTCAAATGACTACAGGAGAAGAACTGTGAGAGGGATAGTGGAAAAAAATTAACATCTAATTCTTCTTTAATCTCCGTTTTAAAAGTTCAAAATAACACTTTTCAAGTGATGTGTAATCTTCTGTAGTTTTAATTTCCTTTTCTAAGGAAAGAAGTTATGTGCAATTATGCTTTCCGTCAATTCCTCTGACAATTGTTAGTTGCTTTAACATGCTGACAAATTGCAGCCACCTTTGACAAAGGGATAGTTCCTACAAGTTATGTGGAAGTGATTCCTGTGGAGCAGAAATGAGACTCTCTTAGTGCCACTTGTGGTAAGAACTCAACCCTCATTAGACACTAGAGCAGCTCTACAGGCAAGAGAGTTTGAGTGCTTGAACTAGAAGAGGCTTTGCTCTCTTACCTTCCTAGACAAGAAAAACACCTGATGATGAGACATATTTCAAGGAAACTTTGAGCATTGTAATTAATTGTTTGATACAGGGCTGCTTAAAGCAGTCATTCCCTTTATCAAAAGTTTGACTTCACAATGTGATTTTTTTCTTTATTTTTTTTCCTAATGCTTCATTTATGTAGTTTGCCTGAAGCAGAGTAAATGCCTTTTTTTTCTCTTTTTTTTTTTCCTTGACTTGTTTGTGATAATCACTTAAAGTCTGCTGATTTAGAGCTGCTTTTTTACAGGAAGCTAGGATAACTTAAAGACAGTGATTGGGGCATCAGAAATATTTTGCATATCATTTCATAGTGTCTTTGAATGCATTTAGGAATTGGTATATCAGATAAAAAAATGAGGTTTTTTCCTTTAGGCAGAATACTTTCTAGGTTATGTTTACCTATTGCATGGGAGATTTTACATTATAAATATATATATATATATGTACAGGTCATTAGTTAGTTTTCTAAAATGTTCATGATGGTTATCTTTCAGAGATTATGTGAGCTGCTGCGTCAGTCTTCTAATGTCTTGCACTGAATACTCATGGTATGTCTGAAGGACAGATCTCGTGTGTGTTCTGAACGTACCAGGTAAATCCCAATAATAACTTTTCATGGGAGATTGTGACCTGTTAAAAGAGTAAGAAGTCAAGAGAGGGCAACTTTTATTCTATATTTAGTCCTAGTTGATTCTGTAAAAAGAGCCTGACAGGCTGTAGCCTAAAATTTATTTTTGTATTTGTGTGTTATACTAGAAAATCGGACAACTGCAACGCTAATGCAGCTATTTGCAACACTAGTGAAGATGCAGCGTGTCAGTGGGAGTTAGCCAGTTTCCATAAATACCTTTAAGAACTTTACTCAGCATTTCTGATGCATGAGGTAAAGCAGAAGGAGGGAAAATGGTGATATTTTTCAGGTAGATAATTCCCCTGTCAAATCCCCTGCCTCACCTTCTTGTCTGAACGAGGCAAAAAACGGACACAGCTGTGACCTTTGAGAACAGTTTGGTTGCCTTTCAATGGCAGTGGTGTTACGAGAGGTACCGTTCAGTAGCAGTGGCGAATAAACTCTCACCTTGACATATTTCTGGCTAGCATATTGGTTTGTAAGTAACTAATATCACTTCCATTAACGTGCCATTAACCTAATTGAATATTTCATTTTCAGGTTGTCCTCATGAGTACTCCAGTGGAGAATGTCCATGATCTTATTTGCCTGTGTGGTGCGGGTGAGGGATGGACTTCCCCTCTCAGCCTCCACAGATTTTCATTTCAACCAGGACTTTCTGGAATGCAGAAAGAGATTAAAGGCGTTATCCTCAATTCTGGCACAGTATCCAAGTCGAGGCACGGCAAAAGGACGTGACCTTAGCATACAGTAAGTCCCTGCTTTTGTTTGTTTGGTTTTTTTACTTTAATTTTTGAAATGGTTGTCCTGGGGATTAGTTGAACTTTAAGGATTAGGTATATTCTATAGTGCCTGACTCCAATCTGAAATCCCACCATGCATGTCTAGATTGTAACCTCCAAGCAGTATTTTGAAACCTTATTTCTCAGCACCACAGCCACACAGCTCCTACTCAGTTTAGTGAGCATAGGTTAAGAATTCCTTATTTTAGTTGTAATTTTTTGTAGCAAATGCTTTCTGCTCAATGGGCAGTACTTGTTACTATTAGCAATGGGAGTATCTTGGACTTCTACAAATACCTTCTACGATGGCATCCTAGTGTCTAGGAATAACTTAGTTTAGTCTAAACCCCAAACCCTTTTCTTCAGTGACTGTCAAGTCTTGCTGATGCCTTCTCTCAGGCTCCTACAGCTCTGATTCTGGCTTGCACAGACCTGCCCCGACTCCCTTCTACGTGCTGCCCACTCCATTTTCTGAATACCATCAGGGTTCAAGTCTCTAGAAGCTCTGGCTGATGGGTGTGTCTTGAGGAGGCCTGAAGCATACTGACAGTAGTCAGTATGGAGAAATTATAAATATTTGCTTTTATTTATTGGGAGAAGGATCTGCTAGCCTTTATTTTGAGAAATTAAGATTTCATTCAGAGATGAAAATTTTCATTTACTATTGATTTTAGTTTAGTTCTAAAAATGAGTTTTAGCTTGTGCTCACATTTCTGGTTGGCAAATGTGAGAAAACTTTAAAGTGACCCTGAGCTAAAACTAAATATCCCTTTTTGGGGTAGTGATTAGAGAAAGAAGATAAATGAACTTACACTGAATCAATTGGAAAAGCAGAGATTAGCATTTTAATTCCTTTCCCCTCAAAGCGAACTTGTGCCCTTTAATGCTAACATGTTCTACTGCTTTTAATCTTCTGTAGCCTCTACAGAAGTAGCTATGCATCTGGCTCTGAAATGAGAAGAGTGCAAACAGATAGGTGGCAAAAAGGCTATAAATTATTGACAGCTGGGAAAAGGTAGTTTTACGCAGGCATGGTGTTGATCCTCAGCCGTGAGCTGGGGACAAAAGGAATTTAGGGAACGTACCCAGTGTAACTAGGCTGTAACGGAGCTAATCAAAACCATAAATGCCAAGCACATAGTACAATGAATAAATAAAAATGTGATAAAATAGAAACCATAAGTATTTCTGTATGAGAGGGATGAAATATATAAATAGTAGAGAAGAGAGAAAATACAGAGAGTAATTGTTCACCTTCAAACCTTTGTTTTATACTGAAATATTACTAGCAAATGGCTAACCTATAAGGGAGGATTTCCTCAGCCTTTTTTCAGAGATAATTACAAATCCGTAATTACGGTGGGGATTGTGGAAGTTCAGCTATCTACGTTACAAGAGCTGACATCTGAACTAGGTGCCCTGACTCCCATCTTATTTAATGAAGCCTAGACGAGAGTGACTTATTTCATCCTGAAGTACATGCCTACATTTTGGTCAGATGTATCCCCCTGTTAAGTTTCCTAGAAGGTTTTTGGGCTATCTGTAAGTGGAAACTTCTGCATAAATATGGCTTCAGTGTTAGAGGGACCCCTTTTGGAGTAGAATTTTTATTGTGCTGTTTCTGATACAAACTCATCTTTATTTGTTACAGATGACTTAGTAGTAACAGTGTTTGAATATCTTGGTTTGTGCAAGTTAACAAATATCTCTTGCTGTTAATATGAAGTTGTCATATTCAAGGGGAGCAAGGAATACATCTGCTTGCTTTCTGTGAACAAGCTTGCTTGTTTTTACTTTTGTTTGTGGAAATCCACTGTGTTTTCTTTCAAAATCTTCTTGCCTGTGATGTTTTCTGGCCATCTCTTTTCTTATTAACGTGAACTAAAGCCAGCCTGAGAAAATACCGTTCTCAATTTTTACTGATGTAGCAATTTAATAAAATCTGTATTGTGATCTTTAGCGTGCTAAGGCATACTGAATGAGTTAAGAACAAGTGTTAGACCTACAGGGGCTGCAAGACTATTGCAGCAGTGCGAACAATATATTTTGCAGTCTGCTCTCTCAGCGCAGTCTGTGCATTTTGTTTTGACAGAAAGCACAGTCTACTTCTCATGTTCAGCATGACTCTTCTACCTTTTTATGTTGATGTTACTTTTTTTTTTTCCTATTTCAGTTTCCTTTCTTCTGGGGATATTGCCTGCATGGCAATCTGTTCCAGCAGTTACTCAACCATCATGGCGTTTTGCTTCCTGGAAGAGCTTCAGTGGGAATTTGCTGCTTCCTACGATACAACAAGCATCGGTTTAGCTTCCAGACCATATGCTTTTCTTGAATTTGGTTTGTAACTTTGTTCTCTAATAGTAAGAATTCTTTGTCTGCTACTTTTATGATGTTAAATAATGTCTCCTGGCCAAAGCCTGATCATAAAAATTTATCTGTCTGTGTGCCTTTGCATGCATGTGTAGGAGGAGGGGGAGATCTTGTAACTGCATTAAACTATTAGATTATTGGTTTTACAGCTCCTGAGAGCCCCTGTAATAGATGAACAAAATGTTGTGGTGATTAATAAACAAGCACAGAAGAAAAAGAAATCCACATCTCAAACACTTTCTAACTTAATTAAAAAAAATCTGACAAGTGGAGACAGATGGGTACAGGAAGAAAGGGAGACAGAATAGATTATTATGGGCAGCTTTACTTCTGGCATGGCTTAGATTCACATAATACTTCATAACCATGCCTAGTGTTTCTTTTTTAACCTGATATAAATGCTTTTCTTGCCGAATAGCAGCTGCTCTACTGAACCTCACAGCTTTGAAAAATACAATTCCTTTGCAGTGAGAAACTCTCTTCTGGGAAAGGATAAGATATTGCAGTGGGTTAGCACACTTCTGTCCGGATTTCAGTAATAGTGTTAAGCTCGTGCTTAAAAGATTGAGAAATCCACAAGCAAAGCATATTATACAGCCATCTTCCAGATGACACCAAGCTGAGTGGGGCAGTTGACATGCCAGAGGGACGGGATGCCATCCAGAGGGACCTGGACAAGCTTGAGAAGTGGGCCCCTGTGAACCTCATGAGGTTCAACAAGGCCAAGTGCAAGGTCCTGCACCTGGATCGGGGCAACCCCCGGTATCAATACAGGCTGGGGGATGAAGGGATGGAGAGCAGCCCTGCCGAGAAGGACTTGGGGGTACCTGTGGATGAAAAGCTGGACATGAGCCAGCAATGTGCGCTCGCAGCCCAGAAGGCCAATCGTCTCCTGGGCTGCATCCAAAGCAGCGTGGCCAGCAGGGCGAGGGAGGGGATTCTGCCCCTCTACTCTGCTCTGGTGAGACCCCACCTGGAGTACTGCGTCCAGCTCTGGAGCCCTCAGCATAAGAAAGACACGGACCTGTTGGAGCGGGTCCAGAGGAGGGTCACAAAAATGATCAGGGGGCTGGAACACCTCTGCTATGAAGAAAGGCTGAGGGAGTTGGGGTTGTTCAGCCTAGAGAAGAGAAGGCTTTGGGGAGACCTTATTGCAGCCTGTCAGTACTTACAGGGGGCTTATGAAAAAGATGGCGGCAGACTTTTTGGCAGGGCCTGTTGCGACAGGACAAGGGGGAATGGCTTTAAACTAAAGTGGGGTAGATTTAGACTAGATATAAGGAAGACATTTTTTATGCTGAGGGTGGTGAGGCACTGGCACAGGTTGCCCAGAGAGGTGGTGGCTGCCCCATCCCTGGAAACATTCCAGGTCAGGTTGGACGGGGCTCTGAGCAACCTGCTCTAGTTGAAGATGTTGCTGCCCAGGGCAGGGGGGTTGGACTAGATGACCTTGAAAAGTCCCAACCCAAACCATTCTATGATCTTGTATTTTGGTTGGATTCCCTGCAGGGCATGTTCCAGGCATGATGTAATTTTATGCTGAGATCCAAATTACTCCTTTTTTTAACTTGAGTAGGAATTTGGGAATTTCTAGCCTCTTTTAATTGCATAAGGCTCTTTATAAAGAAAAAAAATGCAGGGTTTTTTTTTCATTTTTATTATTATACTGTGTTTTGTTACTGAGTCTGCCCAATATTGCTGTGTGGTTTTGTGTTGTTTTTTTTTTTTTTCTTCCTGTGTGTGGATCTAAGATGCACTTGATGCATAAGATCTTAGCCTTTTGCCTGGTAGTTACAGGTAATTCTAGCAGGCTGACTTAAGGTAAAATACAGGATTTTTCATGAAAGAGCGCTTATGGTACTGTGTATTATAGCACAACATAAAGTCCTCCTCTGGTCTCAAAACTTATGCTTAAGCTATTACATATGTATCATATCCAGTAGTAGCTGTGGTCAACCTATGTGAGTCTTCTAGTGTAGCAGTATCTTGCAGATACGGATTTTACTTATAGGATATCTTAGCAAAGTAAATGTTTCTGCATTTTATTTCCCTAAGCATTTGAAATAGCTTGAATTTGCCAGTATCTTGGCACAATTAAATAGGAAGTAGTAGTATCCACAGTGAGGTACTTCAGCTCTGGAGGTGTGAGCAATTCGTACTTGGACAAATTCTCCACTTGGTCTCAGTGCAACTCCTGTCAAGCCAGCAGCCACATTTGTGGAAAGGGATTTGCTTGCAAATGGTATTAAATTTAAAGTGTGAGAGATGAAGCAGGGTGATCTGTACGTAGATGTGTGGCTTGGACGTTGGTGGAATCACTATGGAATTGCCTCTGCCAGAGTTGCTTCATGACTCAAATATAGGTTGAATTAATTTATCTCTGTGCTGGAAAAAAACTAATCCTTGACATTGTTAAAACACATGTGGAATTGCTTCTCATGGTAGTTCATGGGTAGTTTAAGATATGTGTTGACACCTACTCCGGAATATGAAAGCTTGTTTTCAGTTCACTGGCAGGCAGGATGTTGAGATTTAAAGTATCCAGTGATATAAAATACCTAGGAGAGGTATTTTTGTTCCCTAACCAGCGGTGAAATTTTATACCTAAAACTAATAAGAAAAGAAATGAAGGAAGAAATGAAAAACAATCAAAAAAGAATGCCATGGTTTGATTAATAATTACCTAAAGCACTTAACTTTTGCAGAGCTAATTGAAGCATGTTTTTATAATGTTTCAGATAACATTATTCAGAAAGTGAAATGCCATTTTAACTGTGCGAGTGGCTCTCAAATGAAGGCCAACTGGGAGAAGGTTGAGGAGGAGCTGAAGTTCCGGCCCCCGGTTCAGCTGAAACTAGAGGATACAGAGCTGATGAATGGGATGACTAACGGTGGGCATGCAGGCGTTCATGTGGAGGTTGGTAAGTTACTACTACGCACAGGTGACAGTAGGCTTCCTCAACCTAACTTTGCAAACGACAGAAAAACATGTAACAGCAGTGGTTCCTTTTGCACTGAGAAATATATACATCTCATGTGTATGAAACCCAAGAAAAAAAGACTGCCTTTCTCTCATAGTAAACAACACATAGTAAACAACGTCTTTAGATTATAGCAGGTATGCATTAGAGCCTGTAAGGACTCATGGTAGTGTCTTTTTTTTCCAGCCTTAGATCAGCTTCTCTATATGGACAATTGGTTGTAACTGGACTTAGCATTTTCCATGTTAAATTCTCCTGCTTTTAAGGTAGTTGTTTGTTGAGCTTCTTTTGCCATAGAAAATTTAACTAATTCATTGCTAGTTGCAAACTCTAATAGAAGATACATAATTACAGTCTGAATGAGTTGCTTCAGCCTTGAAAGAAAAGATGAGAAGAATATGAGCCGAGGGCCAAACTCTCATTCCCAGACTGTCTGTCTTGGGTTGTTCTCCCCTCTTTGCTTTGTCCTTTTACCTTATTCTTTAAAATTTAATGCATTTGACTAAAATTCTGAAAGAGGATATATGTATCTGTATAAACAACACATAGAGGCTTGACAAGGGACCTTTTTGTAACAAATACTGACCTTTTACCTTCTTTTAGAAGTACTAACCTCTACCTATTTATTGTAAAATTGGTATCTTATTTGTGTTTCAGTTGCATAGTCAAAATCTTGCCTACTTCCTCTATGAAATGAAATGCTTTTAATCCTATTAGCATGGCGGTTTAAATGCAGCTGGAGTGCTATGAGCTTGTATTTCCTCTTTTTTTTTGTTGTTGTTCTTGGCTTATGAAGCACTAATAAAATTAAGTTCCAGTTGCTCAGTCTTATTGTTTCTGATGGATGAGCTGGAATTTAATTTGACGTAGGTATTTGAAGTTAAAATATAGAGGGGCGGTGGCCAGGAGGAATTGAAAACAGAATTGAAAACATTTTATTTGCCAGTCAGATTTGTGAGCGCTCCTCAGAACTGTGCTTGAAGGTTAAATATTTTTGTGACGTGACAGGGCTTAGAAATTCTTTGCACTAGTGTGAACAGTTTCAGTGCCAGTAAACATTTGCAAGTTAGTCTGTGTCCACAGATCAGAAATACATTTTCAGTTCCCCCATATTCTTAATTGCTTTCTTTTACTTTCCATCTGGCTTTGTATTTCTGGCTGTTCTGTCTGGTCTAACCCAGATACTCTTACAGATTATTCTGCCTTTATTTTAAGGATCGTGTTTATGATCATCTGTTTCCCTCAGCTGGAGTCAGCTTTCCTGGCTTATATCTCTCTCCTCTCATCATTACCTACCAGCTGAATCCCACTTTGCTGCTCTAAGTTTAGCTGTGTGGATAGTGTTTGTTCCCGTATTAATGTTACTTATATTGCGGCTCTGCTATACAGGAGACTTCTTGAGCATACGTTGAAGTGTTATGGTTGCAGGAGAGGAGAATTTAATTGTGTCTACATTCTATAGTGAAGATAGATCAATCAATGGATTGATCAAAACATCAGCCTCCTTACGTGGCTGTAGCTGGTTCCTGCCTTCTTTTGAGCTGTGTGATCACATCCCTTGGCTCTTCATTTTAGTGTGAAAGGAGTCTGAAAAGTCAGGGCAGTTTTGTCCTTGTTAGTATATATAGGAACAAAAGTTTTCTTGTTTCTTTTTTCTTTTATTCTTTCTTCTGTTTGTTCCTTCCTTTGTTAACTAAACCCAGCCCAATTCTTGCTAGAAAGACACTAGCGTTGTATCCTTGATCAACATCTACACAACCTCAGCTGTTGTTGCAAAAGCTTCACCTTGTGTTTCGATGTGGGCACAGCTGTTAAAGCTCCGGAGGACGGTGGGGTATGTATACAGAAGAAATGTGAAGTGTAAGTAGCTTTCTGTGAAGAGGGGGAGTTTTCACATCACAACTGGCTCTATGAAGTAGAAGAACAACTTGTGCTATTCGTCCAGCAAGCATGCTGTTAAATTATGCAGCGTTGTGCTCCCCTTGATGAATGTTCTTAGTCTTTTGTAGGCACGCACTCCTTCACAGAGTCCTTTTCAAGGTGTTTTTTGAAGATGTCTCACATCTCTGTCTTTTGTGTGCTTGTATTTTATTTTAAAATGTTTTGAGTCTGATTTCATTTTTCACTCCTGGTGCTGTCTTTATCTGGAGCTTTGAGTATGTGACTCATTGTCAAACCCTTGTTGTGCTATGCCTTGAAGAGACAGAATGGAGCGTGGTACAGGCATTCATGTCAGTCTCCGGTTAAATAGCCAGAGGCCTCTGCTCAGAAAACCTTTTATGGGCAGAAGTTTCAATTTCTTCATTGTGTGAGGGTGTTTTCACAGAATTGTTCTGTACATGTTCAAACCTGCAGATACATTTTTTTTTTTTTCCCCTGGGTGCTAGATAATCCACAGTCTCCAGAACATCTTCTGTATGGTTTTTGTACTCTGAAGTGCACAACTTTTCTACTTGAAGAGTCAAATCCGTTTGAAACCCAATTGGCATTTAATTGTGCTTGTGCAAAATTGTGCTGTCTTGGACTGAGTGCTTGTACTCTCTTGTTCCCTTATTTAATGTAGTAAGCAATTCTAGTATGAAAGTCTGTTTATAAAAATAAGATTTAATTCACACAAGGAAGTGTAATAATTTTTCCCTAGCAGAACCCATCTCACTTGTTCTGTGCAATTTCAGTTTGTGAATTAAACCTCAGAATGATATAGCAGAAATAAAACTCCACAGCAAACAATTTAAAGATCGGTTTTCACAGACTCTGAACCCTGAGCAACTGGATATTGTAATCTCCCCTGCATCTGTGATAGCAATTCTTTTTATCGTACTGGACTACAAAAAAGTAACTTTTACAGAATATTCCGTGCTGCAGAAGCAATATATTGAGACTTGCATTGTTCTTCCCTGGGGACTGGGAACTCTTGACGTGTATAGCTCGCAAGATCCTGTACAATGAATGATACTTGTGCCTAGTAATTTTTCTTTGAGAGACACTGTGTGCTTCTGAAGTAAACCTTAGAAACTGAGGAAGAAGAAACAGTAGTCTTTATTAGGAAATTTCCATGAGAGAGAGAGAGAGAGATACGTAGCTGCAATGTGATTTAATTTATCAAAAATAATAGGAAACTGAATATTCAGGTCAGTGAATGAACAAACATGCTGGTACAGCTCCTGTTCAGTGCGCTGTTTGGACCTTAAATTTCACTGCATAGCAAAAAAGCAAAATTGTCTTTGAATGATAGGGTTACTTGCACCATTAATTTACATGAACATGTGCATGACAATAACATACAGTAATGCTACATAATGTGACATATAGCAAATGGAATTAATACAGTTCCTTTTGCAGCTGCTTTGGAGATGAAATTATGGAGGTATGAGTGCATGCCAGACAAATTAATTACATAGACACTTATAAAAGATACTTTATATCCCTGTATTAATTTGGCACCAAACTTTTTTACATCCATCTATCAAAATCTGTCTTGAAGGAGAAGACACAAGTGTGTTCCTATCTTAAACCATGCAGTACTGCAATATTTAAGCTGTTACGGTGTTTCATCAGTCACTGAAATGAAGCCGGAGACGATCCCTGCTGTATTGCATTGTTTATCTACAGTAGTCAGGAGCTGGCTACATCTGGACAGGAGGCAGAAGATCCTGAGAGCTGGGGAGACTTCTTGAGGGCTCATTCATTCTCTCCTGTATCTTACGGATGTTGGTGCAGGAGAGGATCTGGATTTGGTATCCGAGGTGCAAATTATCCTTCTTACTGTTATGCTGACAGTGTTCTACTTGTGATGATCCAAGGGCAGGGAGGGTATGGCAAGAAATGTAGGTGGGTATCTACGCGTGGTGTCTGTTGTTGAGCTAGCTAGTATATCTAGGGAAAAAAAATCGGTGAGCTTTTGGACAGCCGAAAGCCTGAATTAGAAGCGGCAGATTCCAAAGTTAAATACAAATTGATAATAATTGCTTTGACCTTAATTAGGTATGTATCAGTTAGAGCATCCTGAAGAAATGGTATTTGGGTGTGTAGGTGTTCGAGTAAATAGTGGTAGTGGAGGAGGTGAGAAAGGAAAGAGCCAGGTAATTCACTACCTGTGAAACGTGGGCCGTTTGGGAGAAAGGGAATTGTAATGCACAGTAAAATGTGGTTCAAAGGCCAGACACTATAGCATCCAGTTTAATTCCTAGGCCACAGTTTTGACCGTGTTTTGTCAGTCTGAGAGGCCCAGAGGTAAGACCAGCAGTTCTGTGACAGGCATTTCTCCTCTGTGACTGGGTAGTATCATCTTGACAACTCCTACAACAACTATTCTAGCAGCAGAGCATCGAAGTCCTTGGCTCCTACCGCTGTATTCTGGCAACTGCTTGATGAGGGCACCAAATGCTGTATGGAAACTATGAAGGTGAAACTAAATCGCTGTATAGCAGAGTGAACCCTCAAACTGTCAGTGGGAAGAAATACTTAATTTCCTCAATTACCAGTTGAGGAAGAGATGACTTGCTGTCTTGCTTCTGTGGGGGTCAGAAATGTAAGTTCTTTCTCAGACCTTTGGGTGCTTGAAGCCTCTAGCTTTTCTAGTGACCTGTGAAGAATGGTAAGTATGCCGATCTGCTGAAATAAACAGTTGAAAAATTTCTGTGTGCACCATAAAAGAAGACATTAATGTCAAATAGCTCAAGAACAAATTCTATTGCTTAATCTGTTTAAAAAGTACTCCAGAGCTCTTGCTGATTTCTAGATGTCTGAAGAACTGAACAGTGTAATGCAACAAAAAAAGGTGTTTCTATTTGTCATGGTTTAACCTCAGCTGGCAACTGAGTACCAAACAGCCGCTCGCTCACTCTCCCCCCGCCTCCGGTGGGACGGGGGAGAGAATCAGAAGAGTAAAAGTGAGAAAACTCGTGGGTTGAGATAAAGACAGTTTAATAACTGAAATAAAATAAAGTAAAATAGTAGTAACAATAATAATAATAAAAGAATATACAAAGCAAGTGATGCACAGTGCAATTGCTCACCACCCGCCGACCGATGCCCAGCCAGTCCCCGAGCAGCGGCCCCCCCGGCCAGCTTTCCCCAGTTTATGTACTGAGCATGACGTCCCATGGTATGGAATGTCCCTTTGGCCAGTTGGGGTCAGCTGTCCTGGCTGTGCCCCCTCCCAGCTTCTTGTGCACCTCCAGCCTGCTCAGTCAGTAGAGCATGGGAAGCTGAAAAGTCCTTGACTAGTGTAAGCACTGCTTAGCAACAACTAAAACATCGGCGTGTTATCAACATTATTCTCATATTAAATCCAAAACACAGCACTGTACCAGCTGCTAGGAAGAAAATTAACTCTGTCCCAGCCAAAACCAGGACACTATTCATAATTGGTCGTCTCTGGAGCAAGCATGAAAGGTTTTGAAAATGTTTAAAACCCGCATAAGCTGATTTGAGCCGTTTTAAGTTAAAAGATTCAAAGGAATAGTGCTACCTTTCATTAATGTCTGTGGTGTGTTTTTGTTTGTTTGTTTTTTTTTTTTTCTTTAAGTCCCTACTTACAGAATGCAGCGTGTGACTCCCCTGGGGATTCTGTCGCGTGCCCCCTCCCAGCTTCTTGTGCACCTCCAGCCTGCTCAGTCGGTAGAGCATGGGAAGCTGAAAAGTCCTTGACTAGTGTAAGCACTGCTTAGCAACAACTAAAACATCGGCGTGTTATCAACATTATTCTCATATTAAATCCAAAACACAGCACTGTACCAGCTGCTAGGAAGAAAATTAACTCTGTCCCAGCCAAAACCAGGACACTATTCATAATTGGTCGTCTCTGGAGCAAGCATGAAAGGTTTTGAAAATGTTTAAAACCCGCATAAGCTGATTTGAGCCGTTTTAAGTTAAAAGATTCAAAGGAATAGTGCTACCTTTCATTAATGTCTGTGGTGTGTTTTTGTTTGTTTGTTTTTTTTTTTTTCTTTAAGTCCCTACTTACAGAATGCAGCGTGTGACTCCCCTGGGGATTCTGTCGCTTGTTCTGAACATCATGTGTGGAGCTTTGAATCTCATTCGAGGAGTTCACCTAGCAGAGTATTCATTTCAGGTAACCCCGATTGAATTGAAACCTGTAAATGAGTCAAAGGAAGAGCATTATTTGGGTAACTGGATTAAGGGTGACTGTTCTGCTTCTTAGTAGAGCATACATCTTTCCACAAGAAGTGTTTTGTTTGTCCAGGGAATGTACAATTGTTTGCTCACCTGCTAGACCTCATGTGTTTTGTTGCATATTGCAGCACATTGCATTTTATTCTTTTCTAGGGAGATTAAAATTTGGAGAAATATTTTAGTCTTGCCAGGCTGGCTGGACTTTTTTTTTCCCCATTTTTGTATTTTGTTCTAGATGCTTTTCTGTAAATATTTTTTTAAACAAATGTGAAACTGTAAACAGCTTTTAAAAAAGAAAAAAAAAGTGTCCTGATTTTATGGTGGCACAGTTTTATTTAGCAGGAATTGTCACATAAACCTTAGTTCTTGGTATCTTGTTCAGTGATATTGATCTTGCTGTTTAACACTGTTACGGTCAATCAACATAAACTAGGATGAGAGGTACCTGATGAAATATAGTGTTCTAAAATATCAAGCAGTACTTGCTAAAACTGTAGCTGACGTAGTTGTTTGTCACTTCTTTTAATCCAAACAGGAGGACCGTGAAGGAATTGGAAATGTGATATCTTTTTTCCTACCTTTTCTCGCCTGTGTTTTTCAGGTATGTTAACTGTAAATAAAATGCTTTCTGATTATTTTTATATTATAATATACAAGACAAAATAACTTTCAGCTAAGCAGAGGAACAGTTTGGTTTTCAGTTACCTACCTAGGTGATTCCACTGAGGTATTTCAGTAAAGTGGCACAAATACAGTTGCAGGCACAATTTGACCCTTGTCAAATTGCAGTTACAAGCTTTTTCAGTGCTTTCATGTTTTGACATGCCAAATGGGGCTGAGTGTGATAAATAAGTGCTAGCCCAAAGATGGTTTGTTTCCCAAAGGGTTAGACACGATGTCTTTCTGACAGTGGCAGACTTAGTGACCAGCTTTTGTAGCCTAACCACCTTGAAAGACTAAGCAAATGTAGGATAGCAACAGTATTGAAAATGTTCTAATTTACATTAAAAATTACTTTTAATTCTTGAGACAAATGTCGTTCCTGACTTCCTTAGATTTTTTTTTTTCCTCGCCTAATGGATTATTTTCTCTGACCTCCTTATGCAGAGGAGTTTGAATGGGGAAAATATTATATGGTCCAAATGGGTTCTTCTTGAAAGGTTCCTTAAATGCCTAAAACAGTGGTCCACAACCTTTAACTTGAGGGCAGTATGTTGTTTGCAAAGTCTTTGGTTTTTAGCATGTCATCGCAGGAAGCTGCTGTAGTTGGGTTACTGCTTGACAGAAGGAATAACATAATGCCTACAGAGTATTCATTGCTTAGTACTGTTGCATTTGGCTAATGGTTTGGGACCACTATTTGAAGACTTCTGTCTATCTATGGTATTTAAAACTTGCAGAGAGGCTATTTATTGTATCATAATAGATACAATTTAGTGTCTTTCAGCCGCCTTACACCTCTGCTCATGGCAGAGCTTTAAGATGGAGGTATTAATTTGGATCTAAATACCTGATGCAAGTCATTCTTCACAAAGAAAGGCTCTGTCCTGCTTTTTTCAAGTTAGTACCTGAAGCTAGAGAAGCTAAATAAAGAAGAGTTCTCTCTTATCCTTTTGATCTATAGCAGTCATCTTCACAAAATGCTTGTGCATAAATTGAGCTCAAATGTGAAGCGCTTTCTACATGCTGATCTCTACTTGTGTCATCAGCACAGTTGGAAACTGTGACCTTAAGTGAGAAAGCATGATCTGTTACTGCCTGAGTTAAAAAAGTAACTCTTCTGCCAGCACTTTGTAGATTTTTAGTTTTCTCCTGTAAGGGTTGTTGCTCTTCACACATGCTTAGCAAATGGGTTCCACCTGTTCTTGAATTTAAAAAGAAAAAGAGCCCAAAACCCCAGCTAAACCTGTTAACAGGATTGATGGTCTTTCTACCAAACCAAGTCTAGAGAATGCAGTCCTTTACTTATCCCAAGAACAAATACAGCAGAAGCAGATTTGGGTTTGCTGTTTTCCTGCTTCTGAGCCTTTGTCTTGCGAAAATCGTAGGTGTTTTTGAAAGCTGGCTCAGCTTTTGGACTCCTTTTAATCCAGGCTGAGGCAGGCAGGAGGGACGCCAGTTGTGCTGGCAGCCTTCTTTTGATACCTGTGCTCACCCAGTAGGGTCTGGGTTGAGGCCACCACTCCAGCTATTCTTGGAGGGCCTTTCAACATAGGAGTTGAAGGGAAGCTTTGAGCTTCTTAGTGATCGCTGCAATGGCAGACACATCCGAGTGGCATGGATATGCCAGCAATTCCCAGCTATGTCTCTTGTCTGTACGTGCATAGTTTAATGCTAACGCGGTCTCTCTGGTCCTTTTGTAGTGTTACTTGTACCTCTTCTACAGCTCGGCAAGGAAGGTGAAGACGTTTGTACTCTTCTTCTCTGTCTGTTTATGCAACATTTACTTGTATGGATTACGGAACCTCTGGCAAATAGCCTTTCACATAGGAGTGGCATCTCTTTCTTCTTATCAGATACTGACAAGGCAACTTATGGAGAAACAGCCTGACTGCGGAGTATGAAAAAGACTTTGGGTTTGCTACTCTATTTTTACAACTTTTTTTGTATTAAACTGGCCAAAAATAGCTTGGAGTGATTTTAAAGATTTGTGACAATGGTTATTGCAAGGAGGATATTTCAAAGCAACTTGAAATAAAGTAGGATACTGTAATCATGTCAAACATACAGTGGGGAATGTAGCTGTCTTTAACATGGCATGTGGTAATTGTGCATGGTAGATTTTGTCAGGTGTCATCAACAGACGGAGGTTCTCCTTACCATAAACAGGCTTTTACTGCTTGACTAATACCATCTAGACAGCATTTTGCCATTTGTCTTACTGGCTTTGTAACAGTTTGACAGGTCAATGTCTTGCCCTGCCAGTGCTTCCAAAAATATTAAAATTGTGCAGTAAAATGAAGATAAAGTGGTGGGTAACATTTTTGTCTATAGAATTTGTTAAGCATTAAGATTCTTGGTAAATGTAGGTAAAGGAGTTGTTTGCCATAATTAGATAAGTTCAATATCAGTGGGAAAAATTGCTAGGATGACCTTCAGGGTAATTTTTCTAGGTTTTGACAGAAAGGAAAAGGTTGTGGCTCTTCTAAAAACCATAAAGGCTATAAATATCTCCTGGCTAAACAGCGCATCGTAGTTAAGTATGTGCTCATTGGTTAATTGCTAATACGCTTAGGGCAGCATAAAATAAACCAAGTGAATATAAGTGATCTTTCAGCTCAAGTGGCCTTTATTTCCTTGGTTAAGGTCGTACTTAGTATAAGGGTAATTCCATGTTTGCTTGGTCTGTACGGATAATAAATCTTCCAAGCCTACTTATGACAGGCCACTGACTCCTTCACCTTTTTTAAAAAAATGTATAGCTGGTGAGTGGAAAGCCATTTCCAGTAATGGAAGGCAAGAGCAGGTTCTCTTTATTACATAAAACACCTTTAGTTAATGGTGTTGAGTTCTTACACTAAGATGAATTTATGAGTGTGCACTTTTGAATGTAGTACTCAAGAGCTGAAATTCTTAACCTCTGCTGCACTGGGTATTCTTATATGTAATGTATTGAGGTGCATATGGGCATTTTAGAACATATATGAATAATTTAGGCTGTCTGTTTAAAAAAAAAACCAAAAAAAAGCATAGCATTTTGATGCAGTTGTCCTTGAAGGGTTGTAGAGACTCAAACTGAGAAGATGTAGAGAACTGTAGGTGTGTTATTGTGGAAGTATGGTCCTAGATTTTCTTTTATTTTTTCTTAGGAAACTGTTTTCTTGTCGCCCCATTTCTTCCACCAGACATCTCTCACCAAAGATTTATTTTCCTCTCACATAGTCTCTACCTCTAGTGGTTGCAAAGAGATTAACGTGATGCAGAGTTGTCTTCCTGAGTTTGCAGAAACACTTAACAAAATTACTTTCTTGCATCTCAGTGAATTTTCCTGAAATCTCATGATGCAAACATGAGTATCAGTGGACTACTAGACCAGAAACCTGTGGTGCTGTACCTTGGAAGCACTTCTGTGATGCAGCTGACTGCAACAACAGCATCGATAGGCAGCCCATTACAACCTGAACAGTTTCTAGGACATCAAGATACTTGGTGCCAGAGCTTTTGCCGGTAGTAAAATGTAGGTGCTTCTCTTCCATCCCATGTTAGCCCACTTACTGTAACAATAACACAATGAAATCCTTTTGACTGTGAGGAATAGTCTAGTAGGAATGACAGAGGAATATTTTAGCCAGCCAGTTAAGAAAACAGCTAGAGCTGTGTGACATAAGGGAATACTCTTCTGTTAATAAGGGAGCGGATTAAAATTGTTTGTCTGTCATTACCCCAGTTTTCTGCCAGAGTGTAGGTGGAGAAATGAAGCCAGAATTCAACCATTGTCCTTAAGACACCCAGATGACCCCACAGATGTGGGGGTTTTAGTACTGACAAGCTTTAAGTTTTCATGCTGTTCAGTCCCAGTTTTATTTGGTAAGGTACTCTTAGAGACTGCAGGGAACTAAGCCAGGAGTTTGGATTACAAGTTTTTTAAAAAAAAAAAAAAAATCTGAAAAAAGGACACCCCCAAAAATCTGATAGTAGAAACTTAACGCTTTGTTGAGGATACTGGATCTGATGAGTGATGTGTTTTCCAGGAGCATAAGCTGGGTATCAGCCCACTGGGTTACCATGGGGAATCATCCTGTGGGGAAAGGATGAAGCATTTCATACTAGAGATAGTCAAAGCTTTGTGAAAAGCACCTTAGCGATATGACCCAACTCCCTGCTCCTACCCTTTTAGCCTCAACCTGGCTAAAGAGTCCAAAAGAGCTTTACTGTTTCTCCGTAGGCTTGGATAAAGCTAGCCTGCTATAGCTTAAGGCATGCAGAGCATTCACAATGGGGGCATGGGGCCAGTGTACCATTATCTGCTTTTTATTCCTCATCTTTGCGTTGAGCTGATTGGAAGAAACTGTAATGTTCTTAATGCTTCCCGAGCATCTGACTGTTTGCTTTATCATAAAACAAATACAATCCTGTGCCAGGTGCTGTTAGCAACAGCTCTGCAATAAGAGCGGTAGAACAAGGTATGTAGGTAGCTTGTGCAATTAACATAATTAGAGTGGATAAAGATTAAATTCAGCTTTTGTTTAGTATTTTCTTTTTCCTGAAAATGTTTCAGTAAAATCAAACAAACCCAGTTTGGTTCAGTTCTGC